CTATTTTTCCCTTTTAGTATGTATGATTTCTGCTCTTTTACCACATACAAGCAAGGTCCATGTACTAAATTGTAAAATTAAATACAAGTTTCTTCTAAAAACTTAAGCTGCATTTTCATTAGAAACCAGAAACCCCTTTAAACTTACATTTATTTCATCAATTTGCACAAATTTGGAAAGTTGCAGAGGGAGATGTGCAAAACATCAAGAGGGAAACAAATGTGTCCTTCTGTAACCATTTAAAGACGCTGAGCTTGTCGATCAGAAAGGTCGGCAGTTCAGCAGTTCGAATCCCTAGTGCTGCATAACGAAATGAGCTCCCGTTACTTGTCCCATTACTTGTCTCAGCTTCTGCAAACCTAGCAGTTTGAAAGCATATAAAAATGCAAGTAGAAAAATAGAAACCTTTGGTGGGAAGGTAACAGTGTTCTGTGTGCCTTCGGTGTTTAGTCATGCCAGCCACATAACCACAAAGACATCTTCAGACAGCGCTGGCTCTTCGGCTTTGAAATGGAGATGAGCACCGCCCCCTAGAATCAGGAACGACTAGCACATATGTGTGAGGGGAACCTTTACCTTAGGAAATGATACTGAAACTCTTATCAGGAAGAATGAGAAGAGGCTTGGTGAAACTCAATAATTGGAAAATGGGGTGAGACAAGAGTTCCTATCAATGGAAAGACCTTCCATTCACATGCTCTGCAAACTTCCATATTTATTAGGGAATTAACTTCAGTGTCATTCCAGGTATTCTACATCTTAAGCTGAAACTTAAGAGATTGAGCTGCCAAACAATGATGTGAGATGACAAAGATGCTCACATATTTTTAGAGCATTGCACAAATTTTTTGTTGAGATGACATCAACTCTCTAGTGCATATTCTTGGACATTTCACAACATTACTTAAAATAACCTTTAAACACTCCTGCAAAGCGAGTCTCTTAGAGAGGATGTATTGAAGATGGGAGACAGACACCATTCACATTTTATCAATTTTTATTTAATAAAAAAAGACAGGATCAGATTAAAAATACAAACACTTTGGGTGATTATCCAGCGTTTCCCTCTGCTTCAAAGTAATCAAACCAACCAATAAGCAAAATGAAAAACAAAACATTTTCTAAAGTTCGTGTTTTGGCCAAAGCTGTAAAATAATGCAGAACCAATTAAATTATACCAAAATATATTATTATACCTTTGAAATGGCTTTCAGACCAATAAATTAAAAGAAAACAAGTAAAAAAGTCAACTTTAAAGACAAAAAAAATTCTTTGCAAATTAAATAAGGAAAAAAAATTACACAGCACTATTAATAACAATGTGCAGTCAAGAGTTCTGGTTCTTCTAGGAATGATAATATGCCAGTAAGTCCCTACAGAACATTTTTCCAGTTTGGCAGCAATCAGTTAAACCAATGTTTCTCAACTTCACAACTTTTAAGATGTGTGGACTTCCACTTGCAGAATTCTAGGAGTAGAAGTCCACACATCTTAAAGTTGTCAAGGTTGAGAAACACTGAGTTAATCAGTCATTCACATTTGTATACAAGATGACAGGCCTGGGCTACAACATAAAGCTAAGGGTGAGGACAATTCTTAGTTCTTCCCAGGAGCTGTTGAGAGTTCCCTTTTCGTCTCAATATTTATCAACTGCATGTTAAACTGGGCTTGCTGAAGACAGGTAGCAATTAGCACTATTCTACTCTAAGACAACTGAGACCAGTTCTTTGTTCTCAAAAGAAAAAAATGTTTGCTTATTCATGAATCAAAACATGGTCTTTATCTTAAAGCAAAATTTATCCAAATTACTGAACTATGCTTTTATTTTATTTTTTATAGCTGTGCATTGAAATAGTTGTACTCTTCTAAGATGGAAATCTCTTAACAAACGTTCTTACCAGTCAATCCAGTGGGGCTGATTAAGTAAGCATAGTTCAAGTTTAAGTAAGCATAGTGCTTGGAATTTAAATTGAAAAAGACTTGGATGAACTCATTATGAAGGTAAAAATAAAAAGTGAGACTTCCAAGTTAATGTTAAATATTAAGAAGACAAAGTATCAATGTGAATATGTTTTTAGTTGTTTGAACTCAGTAAATAAAGATGAACTGTATGCAATCTAAAGTGTAGGTTGATTAAGAAGGAAGTTAGCTACAAAGTTATATAAAGCCGTGAAAGAGACCTCAATGTCAACAAAGTTCAGAATACTTAAAGCAATTGTAATTGTAGTGGCAATGGATAATGTGAAAATGGATACCGAGAGACAATGAGAAGATAGATGCTTTTGAACTATGGATTTGGGGTTTTTAAACATATCACGACTTGCTAGACAAATCAGTAAATCAGTTCAAGCCCAAATAAAATCTGATTGCTCATTGGAGCAATGATTAGCAAGCAAAAATGTACATACTTAGGCATTTGGTACAAGTAGATGATGGAATAGAAGAAAGAATTGCTTGGCAAGTTTGAAAGATACATAAGAACTGGAAGACAAAGGATATGGTAGGTGGATACAATCAATTACTATATTACTAGAATACCTTTGGAAGCATTTCTCTTTAGTATCTATGACAAATCCAGATGGACAGTACTATAGAGATACTATAAGCATTTAGTGCCATTTTGGATTATTTGATCCAATATGTTTTGGAAGAATACAATGATCTTTCTGTTATTTGAGAAAAGGAAATTAATTACTGTAATTCACTAATCTTAATGGTAACAAAATGCTGTCTACAGATACCTGTCATGATGGTGCCCATCATATACCCTGCTACTTCTGTTTAATTTTTAAGACAGTAGTTTAATTTTTAAAAGGAGGAGCTAATCTGCTAAAAAGCAAATCTCTATAGGCTTCAAAGGCATTCTTAGAACATACAAATGTTTGGATATGTGCACATCTGTCCAGAGATAATGCAAAATTAAGCTGGAGTATACAGCATTCTGTGGAGAGAAACTAGAGAAGGCTTCAAAAGAGACTTAGTCTTTCAGTTACAGTATGTTTTGTAATTGAATAGGATCATATGTTCCCACCTCACACCAGCTGTTTCATGAAAGCATCTATATCATAGTCTCCAAATTCCAAGTGCATCCACTTTTTCAAAAAGATTTCCTACCTCTGATTTGTATGATTAGACAGTTTTAACACAAAATAATTTCAACAAAATTATGAGAATTATACAAACGGACTAATATTTTAATTTCTCTGCTTTGAAATCCTTTGGAATTGGCACTAGATTCCTGTAATTTTGGAGCCTCAAATTAAAGGGGGGGGCAAATTATGTTCTTTGTAATGAAGCTGACACAGCTGAAATGAGGGGAAATACTCTCAACCTGGTTAGATTTGAGTTGGCCTATTTTTTCAACAAAGTGTTACAACACTTTGATTGTGTAAACTACCTTAATAATGTTACTATACTGAAACTCTGAACTGCTTACTGGGATGCGCGTGACCTAAAGTAAGTCAGAAGTCTCAATTGCCCAGGTCTATCAACCACATAGTGCCTATTTAAAAAGAGGCTTACATTCATTCATATAATCCAGTAAACCCAAGCGGTACCTTTATGGGAGTTGAAACCTTTAATCGCAATTGTAGAATTACATCCATGAATCGTGTCTTGTTTTCTCCAATTTGATTCAACTGATCTAACATCTATAATACATATATATTCTTAAATTTAATTCCTCATGAAGTCTACTACCCTATTATCTTTTTCTTACTCGTAAACTGTACTCCTTCTAAATGTCTATGGAGATTCTCAGTCATCCAAGTCATGGTTGTCCGAAAGGTGCTTTTTCAAAAGACAACTGGGCTTTTTAGAACTGAAGAAGCTTCTTGGCTGAGAAGTGAAACATCTTCAAAGAAAAAACAAGAAAGTTCAACTGCCTTTTGAAAAAGTACCTTTGGGTATATTCCTTCTAGTCATCCTCATAACTTTGTTTTTTCTAGCCATTCACACCTCTGTCTATTAACAGGGCTCTGGAAATCTGTCCTAAACTGAGGTCTGCAAAAACTAAAGTCAAAGTCTTTAATAAAACTTAAATTCTGCAACTCATTAAATCAGCATTAGAACACATTGCATAACATACTTATGGTTTCATAAATTATCTTTTAGAAAAACTTTATGGTTCCTATAACTTACATAAATGCACAAGTGGTGAAAAGAAACTTGTTAAAGGTTCTTGGCACTTCAAACTATTTATTTTTAATTGCAGGCATACAGATTTCCAGAGTCCCTATTAATGGGAAAATAATATGGTTCTTGTCTCTCAACTCATCATTTTTACTACATTACTATTTCTTGCTAACTGAAAGTTCTATAAAAATGAAATATTTCCCACTTAAATTGCTAAATGCTTTTCAAAAGAAAATTATTATAACCAGCATTTCCAATAATTGGATGGGCAAGTATGCCCACAAAGCTTTTAGCAAGCAGCCCAGTCCTTTTTTCATGTATTTTTGAATTAGGATCTCCTTTGGTTAAAATTTAAGAAATTTCATTAACTTAGATGGTTTAATTCATCAATATAGATATTGATAAATCCACTTGCCAATAAGTTATTATATGTAACTGTTGATTATTTTTTATTCTTAAAGTTATAGCTTTTCCACTAGTTAGTTACTTCGCTAACAAAAATGAAAAGTACCTTTTTCCAGTTTACATTTTATTTAGTTTTAACTTACTGCCCTGGAAGATTTTTTTTTTCTATCTGCCAGAGAGCTTTCTTCATATATTACCATAATTTCTTTGGACATTAGGTAGTATTTTAATTGCATGAACTGCAAGTTTGAATAATAAGCATGAGGTGGTATTTTCAAAAGGCTTCTCCTTATAACAGTGGTTCCCAACCTTTTTTTTGCCGATGCTCCACTTAAGCATCTCTAAAATCCTGATGCCCCCCTCCCCCCATGACATATAATTCTTACTTTACTCAAAAAGTGAATTCTACTCACGCAGAGGAAGCCTAAAAGGCCATTAACTTGGTTTAAACAAGGTTCAAATTTCCCCCATTAAAAATCAAATTGCCCCCCTGTGGGGCATGGGCCCTACGTTGGGAACCACTGCCTTATAACAATGTTGTCACTGTCAGCTAATTGACAATTGGGCCAACTCCATCATAAAGGCACCAAAGACCCTTTCTCTCCAGTCCTACTTCCCCCCCCCCATCTGCTAATTAAGTTTGTTACAGATCTCCAGAGCCTTCTTGTAGACCTGAGTGACATCATCCATGTCTGTAAGAAGAGAAAAACTATCACTTGTCCGATTTCGGTAACGCTTCAGGTACTGTGGTCGTGAGCGGGTTTTTTGAAGCCCTTGAAAATCTTGGATCTGGAGGAAGTTTTCAGCTGACACACAGCTTCTTATTTTAAGTTTGTTCTCTTGCAGGTCCACCAAGTCAAAAGAGTCACTGGAAAGAATGCTGTCATCACTAATCACACTAGAAGGGCGACTGTAACTTCGAGATAATCCATCTACAGCCAAACTTGCTTCCTCCATGCCTTTCGTGACTGGTCTGTCAGAGTGGATCAAAGCTGAATGTGCAGTCGTGGTGGAATACTTGCTACTGTGCTTTAAAATACCCTTCCGTCTGTAGGAATGACTGTAAGACTCTATTCTTAATGTTTCGATGATATTTGGGGATGTGTCGCTGTTTCCTGCCTCCTCATTATGATCCAGGAGTTCTGAAGATTCACTCCTTTCTGGAGATGAGTAGTATCCTGATTCTCTTTGCTGAGTCTTCTTGAGGATTCCCTTTTTTGGCATTAAAGAAGACTGCTTAGTGCTGTATTTACCCGTTATATCCCCTTCCAACACACTCTTCATTGGTATACCTATTCTACATAATTCTTGTTCTTTTTTGAAAGTAGAGGGCAATACTGGATTGACTACTCCTTCTATGAACCCTGCACTGTGAGACCGATGTTCACTGTTGCTCCTCTTCTTCAAAATACCTTTTGGCCGCTTGGAATTTAATTTGCAGGAGTTGTCAACTCCTTCTTGGATCGACTGTGCAATGTCATTTTCCTTCTTTGATTTTTTGAGGGACCTCTGTCTCTCTAAATGTACTTCGGATCCTTTTGGTTTAGAAAGGCACTTTATTTTGGTCTCAGTCTCTGACTGGAGGCCACTGGAACGATGATGCCAGTCTATGAATCTAGACAGCAGAGGGGACTCAGAGTCTTGCAAGGCATCACAGTCACAAACAGTACTCTTGTAGCCCCAGTTAACCCACCAGTGGTTGGCAATGTCTTCAATGGTTGCTCTGCGCTCAGGATTCACCATCAGCATCCATCTAATCAGGCCACGAGCATCTATTAAGAAATAATATTTAATAAAGACATTTGAGCTTAAGATTTTACATTAATACAGAATCTAACATATAAAGGAATAGTTGCAAATGACAGCAAAATTATGCAGGACAATATTTTGGCTTAGAAAAAAGAGATTAAGTAGGTAGGTAGATTGACTGATAGATTTCCTAGGGGTAGATTACTGGTACAAACTGAGACTAAATTACTTTTCCATATCATGGAAATGGTATATACATAGTACTTAATCATACTGGTCTGTTCCCCACAACCCTCAGGTTGCTGAATGAATATAGTAAAGGGAAGCACATATAAAGACACATAGATTCAGAAAACCTACCAATTTTTGCATGTAGATTGTAGGGATAAAGGCAAATGACAATCCATTTCTCAATGTATAGGAATATTTATTATGTAAATATCTATCAGTAGTTTTAAGTGTTATAAGACTTTCCTGAACAACTATACAAATTTTGAATTTAGACTGTTTTTTAAAGGGAAACAACCTGATTTGCACTCTGGAGGCTAATATGTGAGATTTATCTTTCAGTAAAATTAGAATTTGTAATAGAATGTATAAAAATCAAAACATATATATTTGTCGAATATAGTCTAATTGTAGGTTGACTGCATATAAGAAATGTACATTTGTGTGTGTATGAGAGAAAGCCCGTGTATTTTTTCTAATAGTTAAATGCATATAACTGGGAACACAACTAGTCCAATTCTTCTAACTTCTACCATCAGATTTACCATCTCTGTGATAACAAAGTTAAAATATTTGGTCATGTAATTTTTCAGCCTAGTTTTTTTTAAATTGCTGTCAGCAACTTCCTTCTGTATATTTAATAAACTGTGAAGTACTTGTTGATGGTCAAGATAAAATTAAATTCTTAAGCCAATGATTTACTCTCCAAAGTATGTTATTTTTTTCTATTAAAACACACATACACACAATTCTAATGGCTGAAATGAAACTCTATCAAGTAACATTTTGAACATTTCCTTTTAAAGACTAAGAGACTTTTGACTATCACCTAGCTAGCCATAGCACATTTGAATAGTCATTGTTACTCAGATTTGCTATGGCACATGAGGAAAAAATGCAGATATCTCTTGGTCGGTTAGGACATTATTCATCCTACACAAATATGATGCATTAGAGATGATTGATATTTTATATATATTTGAAATATAATATCACATCACATTAGATATTATGACATTATGATTAGCAGCAACATTTCAGTCTGTCAACAGACGTCCATGGCAATAATCACCTGGCAGCATTTTAAGAGGGAAGCTGTAATATAGCTCACTCTGTCTTCAAACTGTTTATTCTGAATTACAGAAATAAGGGACTGAATAATGATTGGTCAGTAATTATTAAATATAAGATTAGAAATTTAGTTTCAAGACAAAGCAGCAGGATAACTCATGGACATTATTAGAACCTAGGTGCCCCAAGTCTGTGAGAAAGAAATTAAAGTGAGTCATAGAATAGGCAAACTGTTTATTGGTCAACAATTTTCAATAGAACCTTTATATTCCTGGTAAAATCCTGGCTGCTTTATAGGGGCTTCCATTTGTAATCTAAGAGGTGAAAACTGACTGAGAACGAATCACAAAACATGAAGTCCTTATGGTACCCACATAATGAGGGGAAATTAAACCTCAAAGAGAATCTTAAAATTGTGACAAATATTCAACTGGATTGCAATTGAATATATGTGTCTTTATTCATTTAGTCGCCTTTTCAAAATGATTCAGGACAGTGTACAAATAAAACAAGAAAACAAAAATAGTTCCATATAAAATATAGTAAAATTAACAACAAAATTCTATCTAACAAACAGGTTGAGAACCAAATCATCCTGACCCAGTGCCTTGGGGAAAGATGGGTTAGGTATCGTCATGGTTTTGGTACTTTAATTCCTTGAAGAACAATTATACATCTAGCAGCTTGCAGCTCCGCCTAACTAATGGTACTAGTAACCCTCTGGAATCCACCATTTTCTTTGTACTATTCCAAAGTGTTTGTCTTTTTCTCATGAGAAAGACTGTGGACATATACAGTGTCATATTTTCAAGTATAGACTTGAGAAATAATTTATGACTTCTCCTTGCCCCTTTAAGGCAGCTGATAATACTTTACAGCTATCATACATCAGAAATACTTGTTGCTTTAGACAGATCTTCCTCAAACTTTCACAATACCCTTTTGAAAATCAAGAACTTTTATGCAAATTGAGAATCCTTAGTTTGTATTGCAGCATTTCTGTTTTATCCATCCAACTCTTCCACATACCAAACATCAGAAAGGATGTAGAACAAGCCATCAGAAACTCCTATTATGTCAATGCACAATGACACATCTTTTGATACCTGAGGGCTGTGTTGGCTCACGATATTCTCCACTACTGATCTGCCTGATCAGATTTTTATGATCAAAGCCATCAAAGGGCATTGTTCCATAAACCAGAGTATAAAGTAAAACACCAAGAGCCCAGCTGTCAACCTAAAGCAGAAAGATAAGAAACATAAGGAGTAAAATATGGTGACTCCTGAAGACGCTGAAATTACTAAAGAAACAAAACATCCATCTACCATTATTAAAAAACAGTATTCTGTAAAAAAAATCCATCAATGAACAATGAAAACAAGATTTTAAAGCATCTTGTATGCAAAGATTATTCCTTTATGGATTATCAAAAAAATCATTTCACCAAATTCCCGACACACAGAATATTTACACAAATCAGCTATATAAAATGAATTAGTCAATAAATAATTTTATATTTTTCATTCTGGTTTTTTTAAACATTTCTTTCTTCTGAATTCTATTTACCTCTGGTCCCCGATAAGGTCTTCCATTAACAATTTCAGGAGATGCATATAATGGACTTCCACAGAAAGTCTGGAGAAATTTATCCTTCTGATAAAGATTTGAAAGACCAAAGTCTGCAATCTGTAAAGACAAATTTAGAAGGAGTTGGCTGATGAATAATATGTAACATTAATAAAAGCTTTTTTTCCATTCTGTTCTTTTCTTAGTTTCAGAATAGTAGCATGAGGACTTTATAAGAGTTATTATGTTTCTTTTAATTCTGGTTTTCAATTACATTATATATTATATTATATTTCAGTTATATAAAGCATGTGTTATTGTATTAGTAAAATATCAAAGCCAAAATACATGTTGTTTTATATATCTTTCATGGACAATTCAAATGTACACGTATATTATGAATAAAATAAACGTTGGAACTATACAGCATATATTTGTTATGCTAAAGCTATTTTTATGCAAAAATTATGCTTACATACACATCGTACTGCTAATTGAATAGGAATAGTGGTTAGAGGCTGCAAAATATTCTTGAACAATATTCTGAAAAATTGGAAAATGAAAACTTGGAATGGAAATGAATTTCTAATATTTGGGGTCTTTCTTGGAGTGAGGCAATTTGGAAGTCTAGTTGACCCAAATATGTGCTTAGAAATGAGTAAGAATGAGAAGATTCCCAAAATTATCACAAAATATATTTTGGATGAATGACAAGATGGGATAAAAATGAATGAAAAGGTAGGATAAAAATCTAATGAATAAGAATATAGAACATAGAATAATAGAGTTGGAAGGGACCTAACCCTAACCCTATACTATTTCGGAATAAATAAACTCCAGCTTGTTTGGGAGAAACTCTATTCAATAGCAAATCAGATGTCACCCAAACAGAGGAGGATCATGTTGATCACCCCCTGTATTGGAGATTTTGTGTACAGAGCAAAAGTTAGCATTTAGTCACAGCAATCTGGGTCCCTATAGAGCAGGGGTGTCAAACTCAAGGCCCATGGGCCAGATCTGGCCCGCAATATTGTCAGGTCCAGCCCACAGGACAGCTCTGGAAAATGTAAGGGGCCGCCCCGTGGCACTTAGACCTGGTCCACCCAATGCAACGAGGAAATATCAGCCCAGAGTGACTTCAGCCCGGTCTACTCATTGCGAAGAGGAAACATGCAAGCAGTTTGGGCACTGGCATCAAGCTGGCCACACCCAGCCAGCCGGCCATGCCCACCCAGCCCTCCAAGGTCAACCATAGCCCTGATGCGGCCCTCAGTGAAAATGAGTTTTATAACTCTGCTATAGAGGGAAAAAAATAAAACTAGGGGAACAGGATTCTTTCAATTTCAGAATACTT